TCCGGCTACAATGGCTTGAACATAGGCGATGTCAGTGTTCAAGCGAAACCTTAGCAGACACCTTTAGCACAGATATATAAGTAGACTGATGGAACTGGATAAGATCTAGAAATTTATTGCTACTCAGAGTTTCATGCTTCTTGCAAAGCAATCAGCAGGCAACTGCCAAAAGTAACGGTGTAGGGGACAAAATTTTCCGTGGTTATTTTTGTTCAATTTTTTGTACTTCCGCGGGCACTGTGACCGAATTCGCGAACGTCATCTGCGTTACTATTATGAGCTGGCCCATGTGCTCGCGGCAGAGTTGTCAGGATTGTCGTTTGTAATCTTTGAATTATCGTTTCTTTCACGTTTTCCCTTGTCCTGCAAATCTCAGCAGATTTTAGATCTCAGAGCTGAGATCTTCAGCGTTTGTGACTTTTCTCGCTATTATCGTACAAGTTGTAAACAGATGTTTTGACTGACAAATAAAGTTAAGGATTGCGTACATTTCAACAGCTTGATTCTACAAACGGTTACAATCAAAGATATGGAGAAAACAGTTCAAGATCTAATCCAGTTCCATCAGTCGACTTGTATTCTGCTCTAGTTCAACTATAGAGCAGTCTTATACTCGATGAGGACATCACTCTGGTACTTCGTTTTATATATTTTTCTTTTTTTTTTATCCATAAGACTAGTTGATAGTTTTATTAATTTATTATTATTTTTTAATTGTCATTGTCATGCGGTTTTGATTCTTTATATAGAAATGGCGCACTATAGATAATAAATGTTGTAGTTGTTGCCAAGAAAAAGAACCTGCTCCTAACACAACTGCCAAAGGATCTAAACAAGATGCTAATGCATCCTACCACGAAGATCAGGCCAAGTAAAATCTGGAGCATCATCTACAGGCTGCCTCTGAGAAGAGACAGAGCTATGTTAAAAATCGGCGGGATGTTAGTGTAATAGCAGTTTGTAGGATCGTCTCAATCCACACTTGTAAATAACACGTCCGCCATTGTCAGGGTTAGAGCATAGCCGGCTGAATACGACTTCCCTCAAATAAGTTATCTTAGCGGACCTCGGACCTCTTACGAAACATATGTTTACTTGACGAGCTCAGAAGATAATGGTTTGTGATTTGTGATTGGAAATTTCTATCCGTTTTGTTTCTTTCTGTGTGGCATTAACCCCACCCCCACTCAAATGATTGCCTAAACAAAAAACAAAATTCCTTTGAAGTTTGCAAAACGCGCAGCGCAATACAACGAATGTGGCTGAAAGGACCGCTTTTGCGTAATCATTGGTAGTGCAGGTTGGGGAGTGAAGTCAACGTCCCATTACGAGCCAATGGGTCACCCGGCGGGAGCGTAATATTCCCTCTTCTGTATGATGAATTGAAGCATCGAGAATGGAAGCCAAAATTCCTTGGGACAAACGGCGCTTGGAATGCCTCCACTCCGCGGAAGAGTGAAACACAAAACAACCACCGTAAGGAGCCAGCGCCGGGGCGAGTCCCTGACAAGAGCGAATGCGATTCGCTCTGACAAAAGGTAAGCACTGCTAGTACTTGATACATGTGAGTGATACATTTTTCAGTCTAGTTTATTGCTTTCATTCGCTATCGTCCCCAAGACAGTGATAACCTTACCAGTTTCTACAGCTTATACAACAACCTCGGAGCCTGAACACCTAGTCCATACAATTTAGCCATGTCTAAACTAAAGCCGATTTCGAATAAGTGTGCGGACGAAAAGGGGTTCGTACAGTAGAAGGGTTCGTGTACCTGGTTTGCAGGTAACATTTAGTTAACTCAGTTATATGGACGTTTTAATTTTATCCGTGGTATTTCGAAAACCGAGGGCAGGACGTGTCAATCGGTTCGGGTCAGCAATCGAAAAGTGGGTCATACAATTTCTTGTTTTCCATAGGTTAAACGTATCAGTTCCCTTTCGTTGTACTGATCTTTTATAACCGCGAAATGATTTATACTTTCATAATGGACGTTATGGTTGTCACATATGTAACTCGGCCAAGTTGTCTTGCAACCAGGCCTGCCTTGGAAAGACAGATGGAAATTTGCTGTATGTTAAATGGTGTCGAATGGTTGGATCCACAAAAAAAATGGAAAACGATTTCAAGTTTCCCAAATACCTGTCGCTTCAAGGGAACCCTTCCGAAAACTGGAGAAGGTGGATTCAGCGATTTGAATTGTATGTCGCCGCGAAGGAGATGACCAAGAAACCCGATGCGACTAATATCGCCATGTTGTTGTCAGCAGTTGAACCCGACACCTTGGACCGATACAACCACTTCGAATGGCAAGAAGGTGAAGACTAGGCAAAATACGACCAGTGAAGACAAAGTTACTGTAACGTTGCTAAGAGACTAGTCTAGCCTCGCCCCAGGACTTCGGGGCGGTAATCACGTGCAGTTCGTTGAGAGAGTGTAGACGGCTATTTTGGCTGTGCAGTTGTTGTAGTTGTTTCGAGACGTTATTAAGGAAGCGTTTAATCACTGTTACACTGGTGGCAGCGGTGGGATATAGTTGACGAGATGAGGCAGCTATTTCCTATAGATAATGATCAGATAACGGACGATCAAAAGCTGAGCGTGTGGAAAATCATGCCAAGCACTCTAACGCAGTATCCACACGACCACACGATATTGTCCACTGCACTAAGGCACAGTTCAGAATTAACACTGGGACTGTACCCACTTCAAGACTTCCACTGCGCCGCTATTCACCTCAGCAGGAGAAGTACATAAGAGAGGAGACACAAAGGTTACTTGAGAGAGATGTAATAGAACCGTCAACCAGTCCTTGGAGCGCTCAAGTCGTCTTAGCTTCTAAGAAGGATGGCTCTTACCGTTACTGTGTTGATTTCCGTAATCTGTGACCGATGTTGTATCTAAGTGTACAGGTAGCCTGTGCCAAATCAATCGTGTGAAACATTTGTTTGATAGGTCTACGCTCATAACCATCATAAATTCATTAGTGTTCAGCAAGATTTTCTATTGTTCCTCCATGTGGTCTAGTACAACAAAAAAGAACATTGCTAGGCTTCAAAAAGTTCAGAATTTTGCGGCACGGATTGTGACTGGCACAAGAAAGTATGAGCACATCACGCCGATGTTAAAGGAACTCCACTGGTTGCCGGTTGCTAAGCAACTGGAGGTTAGAGACATTTTAATGGCTTTCAAATGTATAAAGGGATTAGCCCCACCATCCTTGTGTAATAAGTTTTCGACAAGAAGGCAGATGCATACTAGAAATACTAGGAATAAAGATAAACTTCATGTACCATCTTTTAGATCAGCAACAGGTCAGCGATCTTTCTCATATAGGGCTGTTCAGCTCTGGAATGACCTTCCAGAAAGTTTAGCAAACATAGAGTCATTTAATGTTTTTAAGAATGCGATTAAAGGACGTGCCCTTGACGAGTTTTTAAGCCATTGACTCTCAATAGGTGTAATTATGCATATTTTATATTTTTTAAATAGTATGGTAATGTTTTTTCACTTTCAAATGTTTATATTAAATTTCTATTGTTCATATTAGATTTTATTGTAATTGGTATGTGAAAACCCATTTTAATTGGATGTACCAATAAAGTTGATTTGATTTTAAGCTAAATAGTGTCACTGTTAAGGAACACTACCCTATTCCAAGGGTGGAGGACATGATCGATACTCTAGCTGGAGCAAAATTTCTCTCAACCCTGGACTTTGTCTATGCCTACTATGCGTTCGAAATTCACACTGATGACAGGGAGAAAACAGCTTTCTCTACAAAGCAGGGGCACTGGCAATGGAAACGTGTTCCCTTTGGGCTTTGTAACGCAGCTCCTTTCTTTGTGCGGCAGATTGCCAGTCTCTTAGCGGGAATGACATGGGAAGAACTGTTGGCATTCTTTGATGACGTCCTCATCTTTTTGGTGCCACTTTTGCCAAGCACTGTGAGTCCTTGGACCTTGCTCTCTCCCTTATAGAGGAGGCTGGATTGAAGGTGAAGCCAGAGAAATGCTGTCTGCTACCACAACGCGTACCTTCTGTTGGACATATCCTGTCGGCGGAGGGAGTTTCGACAGATCCTGAAAAGGTTTCCGCAGTGAAATCCTGGCCACTACCAACCAATGTGTCTGAGTTACGTGTTTTTCTGGGAAAGATCGGCTACTGCAGGAAATTTATTCCGGATTTCGCAACTGTCGCAAGCCCTCTTTTCCTTCTTGAGGAAAAGGGAAGAAACTTTGTGTGGTCCAACGACTGTCAAAGATCTTTCGACGCCCTAAAGCAAGCACTTTGTGAAGCACCGGTTCTCGCATACCCAAGGTTTGATCTCCCATTTATACTAGATACTGACACTAGCACGACCGGTGTCGCTGCTGTGTTGTCTCAGGTGCAAGATGGCGAGGAGCGCTCAATTACATACGCTGCCAAGGCCTTGACAAAATCGCAGAGAAAGTGGCCGCCAACCAAGATTGAGATGTATGCGCTAGTATTCGGGACAAAAACATTCTACCCGTATCTGGTCAACAAACAGTTTGTTGCTCGTCTGGATCACCGCTCCTTAGTGTGGCTTCAGAACTTTAAGAATCCTAAACCTCAGGAAGCCCGATGGATTCAGCACTTTCAATAGTACGACATGAAGATAGAGCATCGGCCAGGTCATCTGCATGGCAATGTCGATGGCCTGTCCCTTCGACCTTGGCCAGAAAACCCCGCGTCTGACACACTTGTTGAAGCACAGAATTTTTGTGAACCATTGGTTGTTGGAGCGACCACCAGTGACGGTTCAACAGCTTTTGTCGAGGATGGAAACGAGTCGGAACCCAGACCGCCGCACCCACCGTGGTCCAGTGCTCAGCTTAGGACAGAGCAGTCAAAGGATAAGCATTTGAATGCAGTGCTACAGTGGCTTAGAGCAGGAAGGAGACCACCTAAAGAAGAAATGAGAGGGGCAGATCGGTATATGTGGGCTTTATGGGGTCAATACGATAGGTTGCTTTTGCAGGATGAGGTGTTGCACCGGCGATGGTTTGATTAAAAGACTGGACATGAAAGTCTGCAGGTGTGTGTCCCAGAGCAGTTGAAGAGTGCTGTGTTGCAGGAGTTACATGACCAGTGTGGACACTTGTCAGTGCGCAAGACTACAGACAATGTGCGGAAACGCTCTTACTGGATTGGCTACACTGCGGATGTTGAACTGTACTGTCGTACTTGCCACACTTGCGGCTCCAGAAATGGACCAATACCACGGGTGAGAGCGCCCATGCAATCTATTAAGACGGGCTACCCACTAGAGAGGATTCAGATTGACATTCTCGGCCCCCTTCCAGAGACCAACAAAGGAAACAAGTATGTTGCTGTTGTGGTGGACATGTATACAAAGTGGCCCGAAGCGTACGCCTTACCTGCTCAAGAGGCTAACACGGTCACCCAGACTGTCATGGACAACTTTGTATGCCGCTTCGGTTGCCCTCGTGGTATACTCAGCGACCAGGGCCGCAATTTTGAGTCTAGGACATTCCGTGGCTTATGCAGCTTCATTGAGTCCGTCAAACAAGGGACAACGCCATACCACCCTCAGTGTGATGGGGATGCGGAATGACTTATCCGTACGGTTACCGGTGTTATTGTCAAGGTTGCGGAGGAGCAAGAGGAGTGGGATCAGTATCTTCCTAAGGTCCTCCTGGCTTTGCGTGCATCCATCAATGGGACGACCGGCTTCTCACCCAGTATGCCCATGTTCGGCAGGGAACTGAGATTACCTATTGACGCAATGAGGGAGGAGCCTCCTTCAGAACAACCGCCTGATTTTCCATCTTTCGTCAAGAGACAGCAAGAAATTCTTAAGGGAGTGTATGGACGAGTAGGGGAAAATCTGCGAGTCAACCTTCGTCACCAGAAAGATGTCTGTGACGCGCGCTGCAAGGGAAACACAAAGCCGTACCAAGTGGGTGATCTGGTGTGGTTAGAGGAAAATGCCGTTCTGAGGTGGGTACAGCGGAAATTCTATCCCCCCTGGTCCGGACCGTGGCGAGTAGTGAAGGTCATATCTAACGTCACCTACAGAATACAGTGCGAGGAGGCCGCACCCACACGGGGAAGAAGGAAAACGAGAATGATTGTGCACTTTAACCGTCTTAAACCGTACTACGGAGACCCCCTCAGCTTCAGCCGACATTGCATGACGTCGAGAGAGACGCTGGCCAACCTACGGATCTGAATGTTGGAGAGCGTGCTGTGTTGGAGTTACCGTGGGTTCGCACCGCAGATGCCCTGCCTGGGGGCCCCGCTCCGACTGAGAATGCCGCAGCTGTCAACCCTGAACCGGACCTCCGGCCGAGACGTTCAACCAGAGACCGCCGTGTCCCTGCCTGGATGGGAGACTTTTTTTTAGGGAAGGACATTGATAACGCCCTTTCTCCACTAGGGAGTGGGGGGGTGGGTAACGTTGCTAAGAGACTAGTCTAGCCTCGCCCCAGAACTTCGGGGCGGTAATCACGTGCGGTTCGTTGAGAGAGTGTAGACGGCCATTTTGGCTGTGCAGTTGTTGTAGTTGTTTCGAGACGTTATTAAAGAAGAGTTTAATCACTGTTACATTACAAACCGAGTTGGAGGGCCAGACACGAATTGTATTCTTCAGATATCGCGCGAACATTCAACGAATTCCTAACGTAGCTACGAACACTTTCTCTTTTTGGCCCATTTGCTGAAGCAGATAACATGGTCGGAGACAAAATAGCAATCTCCACTAAAGATCCCGCGCTAAAAGAGCGGCTGTTTCGCTTACTGAAGCTAGACCTACAGAAGGCCGTAGATATTTCTCGATCCTCGGAGCTGGCACATAAGGAGTTGCGTAAAACGCAGTACCACGCATGCGCGAAACGAGTGCCCAGATCTATTAAGAGCGACTTTCTGTAAATACCACGGATAGGTGTGCAAGATGGAAAAATCGAAATCTCCCAANATGTAGGGCTATGTAGGGCTGTGCATGGCTATGTAGAGCTATTTATGGCTATGTATGGCTATGTAGGGCTATGTAGGGCCATGTAGGGCTATCTAGGGCTATGTATGGCCATGTAGGACTAAGTATGGCTATGTACGGCTGTGTAGGGCTTATAGGGCTATGTAGGGCTATGTATGGCTATGTAGGATTATGTAGGGGTGTGTATTGCTGTGTATGGCTGTGTATCGCTATGTAAGGCTTTGTAGGGCTCTGTAGGGCTATGTAGAGCTATGTAGGGCTATTTAAGGCTATGTAGGGCTGTGTATGGCTATGAAGGGCTTTGTAGGGCAGTTTAGCACTATGTAGGGCTATGTAGAGCTATGTAGGGGTATGTAGGGCTGTGTAGCGCTATGTAGGGCTATGTAGGGCTATGCAGGGCTTTGTATGGCTATGTAAGGCTATGTATGGCCATGTATCGCTATGTATGGCTATGTAGGACTATGTAGGGCTGTGTATGGCTATGTAGGCCTATGTAGGTCTATGTATGGCTATGTAGAGCTATGTATGGCTATGTAGGGCTATGTAGGGCTGTGTAGGGCTATGTAAGGCTATGTAGAACTATGTAGGGCTATGTAGGTCTGTTTTTGGCTGTGTATGGCTATGAAGGGCTTTGTAGGGCTTTGTAGGGCTTTTAAGAGCTATGTAAAGCTATGTAGGGCTATGTAGGGCTATGTAGGGCTGTGTATGGCTGTGTATGGCTATTAATAGCTTTGTAGTGCTGTGTAGGGCTATGTAGGGCTATGTAGAGCTATGTAAGGCTATGTAAGGCTGTGTAGCGCTATGTAGGGCTATGTATGGCTATGTAGGGCTTTGTATGGCTATGTAGGGCTATGTATGGCCATGTATGGCTATGTATGGCTATCTAGGACTATGTAGGGCTGTGTGTGGCTGTGTATAGCTATGTATGGCTATGTATGGCTATGTAGGGCTGTGTATGGCTATGTAGGGCTATGTAGGGCTATGTATGTCTATGTAGGGCTTTCTGGGGTTATGTAGGGCTATGTAGGGCTATGTATCGCTATGTAAGGCTATGTAGGGCTATGTAGGGCTATATAGGGCTGTGTATCGCTGGAATGGCTATGAAGGGCTTTGTAGGGCTGTGTAGGGCTATGTAAGGCTATGTAGAACTATGTAGGGCTATGTAGGGCTGTGTTTGGCTGTGTATGGCTATGAAGGCTTTGTAGGGCTTTGTAAAGCTATGTATGGCTATGTAGGGCTATGTAGAGCTATGTATTGCTATGTAGGGCTAGGTAGGGCTATGTATGGCTCTGTATGGCTATGTAGTGCTATGTAGGGCTATGTAGGGCTATCTATGGCTATGTATGGCTTTGTAGGGCTATGTAGAGCAATGTAGGGCTATGTATGGCTATGTAGGGCTGAGTTGGGCTGTGTAGGGCTATGTAGGGCTGTGTATAGCTATGTAAGGCTATGTATGGCTATGTAGGGCTAAGTAGGGCTATGTATTTCTATGTAGGACTATGTAGGGCTATGTAAGGCTGTGCATGGCTATGTAGAGCTATTTATGGCTATGTATGGCTATGTAGGGCTATGTAGGGCCATGTAGGGCTATCTAGGGCTATGTATGGCCATGTAGGACTAAGTATGGCTATGTACGGCTGTGTAGGGCTTATAGGGCTATGTAGGGCTATGTATGGCTATGTAGGACTATGTAGGGCTATGTAGGGCTATCTATGGCTATGTATGGCTATGTAGGGCTATGTAGAGCAATGTAGGGCTATGTATGGCTATGTAGGGCTGTGTATGGCTATGTAAGGCTATGTATGGCTATGTAGGGCTATGTAGGGCTATGTATTTCTATGTAGGACTATGTAGGGCTATGTAGGGCTGTGCATGGCTATGTAGGGCTATTTATGGCTATGTATGGCTATGTAGGGCTATGTAGGGCTATCTAGGACTATGTATGGCCATGTAGGACTAGGTATGGCTATGTACGGCTGTGTAGGGCTTATAGGGCTATGTAGGGCTATGTATGGCTATGTAGGATTATGTAGGGGTTTGTATTGCTGTGTATGGCTGTGTATGGCTATGTAGGGCTTTGTAGGGCTCTGTAAGGCTATGTAGAGCTATGTAGGGCTATTTAAGGCTATGAAGGGCTGTGTATGGCTATGAAGGGCTTTGTAGGGCAGTTTAGCACTATGTAGGGCTATGTAGAGCTATGTAGGGGTATGTAGGGCTGTGTAGCGCTATGTAGGACTATGTAGGGCTGTGTATGGCTATGTAGGCCTATGTAGGTCTATGTATGGCTATGTAGGGCTATGTATGGCTATGTAGGGCTATGTAGGGCTGTGTAGGGCTATGTAAGGCTATGTAGAACTATGTAGGGCTATGTATGGCTGTGTTTGGCTGTGTATGGCTATGAAGGGCTTTGTAGGGCTTTGAAGGGCCTTTAAGGGCTATGTAAAGCTATGTAGGGCTATGTAGGGCTATGTAGGGCTTTGTATGGCTATGTAGGGCTATGTATGGCCATGTATGGTTATGTATGGCTATGTAGGGCTATGTAGGGCTGTGTGTGGCTGTGTATAGCTATGTATGGCTATGTATGGCTATGTAGGGCTGTGTATGGCTATGTAGGGCTATGTAGGGCTATGAATGGCTAAGTAGGGCTTTGTAGGGTTATGTAGGGCTATGTAGGGCTATGTATCGCTATGTAAGGCTATGTAGGGCTATGTAGGGCTATGTAGGGCTGTGTATGGCTATTAATAGCTTTGTAGTGCTGTGTAGGGCTATGTAGGGCTATGTAGAGCTATGTAAGGCTATGTAAGGCTGTGTAGCGCTATGTAGGGCTATGTAGGGCTATGTAGGGCTTTGTATGGCTATGTAGGGCTATGTATGGCCATGTATGGTTATGTATGGCTATGTAGGACTATGTAGGGCTGTGTGTGGCTGTGTATAGCTATGTATGGCTATGTATGGCTATGTAGGGCTATATAGGGCTATGTATGGCTATGTATGGCTATATAGGGCGCTCTATGGCTAGGTAGGGCTATGTAGGGCTAAGTAGGTCTGTGTATGGCTATGTATGGCTATGTAGTGCTGTGTAGGGCTTTGTAGGGCTATGTAGGGCTATGTAGGGCTGTGTAGGGCTATGTAGGGCTATGTAGGGCTGTGTATGGCTATGTATGGCTATGTATGGCTATGTAGGGCTATATAGGGCTTTGTAAGTCTGAGTATGGCTATAAAGGGTTATGTAAAGTTATGCCATATGTTTTTTAACGGGGATCTACTATATGATGCTTACACCACGTACCTTCCCGACCAGGACAGGTGACCGCTGACCATTATTATTGTAGTGGCATGGAGCACATGGCCATCTCAACGGTAGTGCAGATTCTTGGCACTAGATTACCCTGCTTGTTTTTACTGAACATGTCGCGCCGTGCGCAATTCGTAATGTCAGCATCATGACCTCATTAGTTAGATTTCCGATCTTCTGTTTAGGTAGAATTAATGACCGTTGCGTGTTTTCGTTGCTTTTGTTGTCTGTTTTAGCGTAAAAAAGACTTTCTTAATGGCCTATAGAGATAATCATTGTTCTCTTATGGTTAAAGGAATGTAAGACCTCTTTAATAAACTCGCCACGAGTCCCCATATACGTATACGGTCTGTTTTATCGTTATTTTCTGTTTCGGTTGTTCTATAACAGATATGTGTAGTAACCCGGGCTCAAGACCTTATCGCTAGCTCCCTTTCTTTCCTAAATTTGGCTTTTTTTCTTTAAAACGTAAAAAATTAATATGAGTTTTACTGGAATCGTTGTGGGTATATTCGTGAGGTCCTTTGGGCATATTTTATCTTGTGGCCGTTTGGGTATTTTTTATGTGGCAACATTTTAGAAGCAATAATTTTTGATGAAGACGCTGCTTGTATGTCTTCTGTTACAAGACCAATGATTTAAAATTATTAAAGAAAAGCAGTTATTCCTCAGGCGTTAAAAAAACGGAACTAAAGGGATAATTGTGGTCAATAAGAACAGATAAAATAACAAAATCAACCAATCAGATGTTGAAGCGCGAATAAGTCAAAGTGGTTGAGAAAGTAAACCAATTACAGAGCGCAGTAAAACCCAAAGTGGACGCAGTTATTGTAAACTCAGTTTTAATCCGCTTTATTTGTGGAAAATTATTTCAAGTAAGTCAGAATAATTCTTCGATATTTGAGTGGGAGGATTATTTTTTTACAGTCCGAGATGTGCATAT